AAGTGATGGCTCAAAATAATTAGGATATAAAACTTACGTCGGTACCACCGTGACAGACATCATCAGAGCAAGAGTCCATACTTTACAAAGTAGAGCAAAAGATATACCAAACCAAGAAGAAATGTAACAATTTCACAGGGTCCACAGGACGGTGGGCTCAGCAATTGTTCGCGCAATCCTTTTTCGGTTTCTGGTGAGACCATTTCACAAATTCTTTCCAACCAACTTTTCCTTCGAAATGGAAATCCAAGTCACGTTAAAGACTTGCCGGTTTCAAATATTTCACATTTAAGTGTAAAATGGATGAATCTTTACAAATTCCCAACTTGTCAAATATTGAATGGCAGAAATGAGTGCATGAAATTGACGAGAAACTATTCATGCCCCGATTGAAGGGAGAAAGAGAGATAGAGCATAGCAGGAATAGGACACACACAATACCTCATTCGTAAACCTGCGTTAAAGCTGGAGGATTATACGCTGGTTTATTTATTTGACGAAACAGTTGCCACCGCATCCACCACTTTTGTGTGAGTTCACGAAATAGGCGGAACACAATTATTATTATTATTCAAGATCATGTGGTAGCCCCCGCTAATGTTGACTCATCTTTGGGTATGCGCTATTGTCTATTGCTTGTGTGTGTGTGTGCTATGTCAATGTTATGAGCGGTGTGATGGTCTCTACTACCAGTCCTTCATCAGCTTACACGAAATAGGGTGAATACATCTCATTACTTGTGTTATGTCTGGATGATGCTCCAGAGTTTGTATCACAGATTGAATAGCTCCTCGGACAGAAATGTTTGTGTACATGGACACAACATCAAAGCTTACTAGCTTATCCACTTCATAAATTGTCCGCTGATCCAGCAATTTCACAAAATCATACGATTTTTTAACTGAATTTAGCCAATAATTGGTAGAGTTCCTTAGTGGTGTGCATAAAAACCGTGAGATTGTATGCATCTTTGCCTTCCTGCAAGAAAGTGGCCAATAAAAATGGTGCTCTGGACAACTGCGACACTTTCTTCGGTTCTGGCCACATTTGGAGAGAAGGCTGACCCATTCTGCAGATCGGGTTGCCACAAAATGTGTCTTCATGTGGTTGTCTTTGGGTGGGGCAGACTTGTCGTCGCATTCGACAAAGCATGGCCGAGACACAAAAGCGTTTGTAGAGGCTGTTCGGCTCCACAATCAGACAGAGCTGAGAACGTGACAGAGAGTGGACATGTACTTTTCTTTTTGCTGAGTTTTGTCTTTTTGCGGCTGAACGTAAAATTAGAGAGGCACATAAAATAAGGAACACTCGCATGCTTCGAGGTTAACATATGACTTGAACTAACCAAATCA